GTGACCAGAATTTGTAGTTGGTGTTAAAGTAGGACTTAAAATAGATGTGATATATATTCAAAACGTCTTTCATTTTGTTTTATTAAATAAAAATGAACAAGAAATTGATGCAATTCATTTATAACTATATTTCGAAATTCTTTTTCCAACTAAAAAATATAAGAAAAAATTAACTATATGACATAAATCCGACAATATACTTTTTATAACATCGAAATAAAATCCAATATTATGTAATAATATATCATCATCATCAATATTTAAATATGAACTTTCTTTTATTATTTTTACTTGTATTAAAAATGTTATGAGAAATAAAAAATATTGTATTAGGAATATTAAATATAATGATTGATAATGTAACAGCTAAAAGCAATGTTTTATCCAAGATTTCTAGATATGTTAGATCTCAACTTTGGAGCATCGGACCTAGATGAAACTTATGGAGAGTCATATTAAAGTTAAATGATGAGGTTTCATGAAAAAAAAATTCTGATTGGAGTTTGCGAAAAAAAAATTTTTTTTTTTGCTTGCACCCCCCTTCGGGAAATTGTTTTAACCTTTTGTAGTATTCCATCTTTTAGAATTTCATAGTAGGCTACATCGAATTTCATCAACAGATTTCAAATTTCATCGAAAAATAAGCATCCGTTCAGGAGTTATAATGTTTTGAAATTTTGCTAAAATTTTTGCAGCATTTGAAAAACTTTCAAAACATTATAACTCCTCAACGGATGCTTATTTTTCGATGAAATTTGAAATCTGTCGATGAAATTCGATGTAGCCTACTAGGAATTTCTAAAAGGTAGAATACTACAAAAGGTTAAAACAATTTCTCGAGGGAGGCCAAGCAAAAAAATGTTTTTTTATAAAACCTCATCATTTATCTTTAATATGACCCTCCATAAGTTTCATCTAGGTCCGATGCTCCATAGCTGAGATCTAACATATCTAGAAATCCTGGATAAAACATTGGCTAAAAGCACATATGTAACTTGTGCATTTATACGTCATTTTGTAGCTAATATTAATTTGATTGTTGTAATTATATCGAATTATTTGAACAACATCGATAAATTAATGTTTTCGATAAATTTGAATTAGACTTTTGTTTGTTAGAATCTTTCGATATTCGCCAATAACAATATTAGCAGCTATAATAAGACCTACAAATAAATGTGATTATTATATACGTAGGTGAAGTTAGCCTCATATTCGAGTAAATTCAGCCAAGATTCGGCGCCAAAGCTGCCCAAGCTGCACCAGACAGCACCAATATACAACTCGACGAGCTCTATCCATTGGTTACTCTGGATTTTTCCTAGCTTGAACCATTCGTGCAAAAATCCCAAAATCCTAGGTTTTTCCTATACAAATTTTAGCTTATGGATGGTAAATCCAGCCAAGATCCGGCGCCAAAGCTTCCCCAGCTGCACCACACAGCACCAATATGCAACTCGACGAGCTCTACCCATTGGTGACTTTGGATTTTTCCCAGCTTGAACCATTCGTGCAAAAATACCAAAAACCTAGGTTATTCCTAGGCAAATTTTAGTTCATGGATGGTAAATCCAGCCAAGATTCGGCGCCAAAGCTACCCCAGCTGCGCCAGACAGCGCCAGACAGCGCTAGTATACAACTCGACGAGCTCTACCCATTGCTGACCTAGGATTTTCCCCAGCTTGAAATATTCGTGGGAAAATCCCAAAATACTAGTTTTTTCCTATGCAAATTTTAGCATATGCATAGTAAATTCAGCCAAGATTCGGCGCCAAAGCTGCCCTAGCTGCGCCAGACAGCGCCAGAATACAGCTCGACGAGCTCTATCGATTGGTAACTTTGGATTTTCCCTAGCTCGCACCATTCGTGAAACAATCCCAGAATGCTAGTTTTTTCCTATGCAGATCTTAGCATATGGATAGTAAATCGAGCTTAGTATTTTCGAATTTTTCCACAAATGGTTTCAGCTATGGAGAATCCGACGTTACCAATCGATAAAACTGATCGAGTTCTATTGTGGAACTCTCTGGAGCAGCTTCGTGGAAGAATGCCGGCTGAGTTTATTAATCATGTGGTAAGATTAGCATAGGAAAAAATTAGTATTTTGGGATTTTCGCACGAATAGTTCAAGCTAAGGAAAATCCACGGTCACCAATGGATAGAGCTCGTCAAGTTGCATATTGGTGCTGTCTGGCGCAGGTGGGGCAGCTTTGGCGCCGAATCTTGGCTCGATTTACTATCCATATGCTAAAATTTCGATAGGAAAAAACTAGTATTTTGGGATTTTCTCACGAATGGTTCAAGCTAGGAAAAATCCAAAGTCACCAATGGATAGAGCTCGTCGAGTTGTATATTG